TGGAGGCCATCTTGGGCCATCTTGGCCGTCTTGGAGGCCATCTTGGGCCAAGTTGGGGCAACAAAGGCATTGACAGACGGATTTTGGGAAAATTACGGGTGGCCGGCGGGACGGGCCGAAGCCCACTGGGGAGTTCTTTTAGAAAAAGAACCAAAACCAAAACCTGAAACGTCCAGCACGCCGTGCACCCCTGCAAGCAGGGGGCGGCGGACTCCCCAGTGGGCTTCGGCCCGTCCCGCCGGCCACCCGTAATTTTCCCAAAATCCGTCTGTCAATGCCTTTGTTGCCCCAACTTGGCCCAAGATGGCCTCCAAGACGGCCAAGATGGCCCAAGATGGCCTCCAAGATGCCTCCCAGACGGCCAAGATGGCCTCCAAGACGGGTAAGATGGCTCCAAGATGCCTCCAAGACGGCCCAAGATGCCCTCCAAGACGGCCAAGATGGCCCCAAGATGCCTCCAAGATGGCCCAAGAGGCCTCCAAGACGTTCTCCAGGAGAGCCCGAAGAGGCCAAAATCATTGGTTTTCCTTAGGTTTTTGAAGGTTTTTTGCGTTTTCTTCTTTTCGGCCTTCCGACGGCCCAAGAGGCCCCCAAGATCGCCCAAGAGGCCTCCAAGAAGGCCCTATGACGGCCCAAGGGCCCCCCAAGACGGCCCCAAGAGCGCCCCAAGACGGCCCAAGAGGCCTCCAAGACGCCCAACATGGCCTCCAAGACGGCCCTGAAGCGCCCCAAGAGGGCCCCAAGACGGCCCAGAGAGGCCCCCAAGACGGCTCCAGACGGCGTCAGACGGACCAGGAACGCCCTAAGACGGCCAAAGAGACCCCCAGGAAGCCCCCAAAGGCCCCCAAGAGGCCCAAGGAGGCCCCCAAGATGCCTCCAAGAGGCCTCGAAGAGGCCCCCAAGAAGCCCCCAACAGACCCCAAGGGTGCCCCAAGAGACTCCTAACAACCCTCATCCTCCTACTCTATTTCTTCCTCTTCCTCTTCCTGTTCATAATCATTCTCTCCCATGTGTTCCCCGAAAGCTTTCCAAACCGACTCGGGGAACTCATGGTCCGATAGCTTGGCCAAGCTCTAGTCCAACTTTCGGCCACATCGGCGTTTCCAAAAAGGCAGGGGGCGGCGGTGATTCGCCGTAGGCGTCTTCGATCCGCCGCCCCCTGTGGTCTTGCCACAGGGGTGCACGGCGTGCTGGATGTTTCAGGTTTTGGTTTTGGTTCTTTTTCTAAAAGAACTCCCCAGTGGGCTTCGGCCCGTCCCGCCGGCCACCCGCAAGTTTCCGAAAATCCATCTGTCAATGCCTTTGTTGCCCCAACTTGGCCCAAGATGGCCTCCAAGACGGCCAAGATGGCCCAAGATGGCCTCCAAGATGCTTCCAAGACGGCCAAGATGGCCTCCAAGACGGGTAAGATGGCTCCAAGATGCACCCAAGACGGCCCAAGATGGCCTCAAGATGGTCTAAGACGGCCCAAAAGGCCCGCAAAAGGCCTCCAAGACGGCCCAAGAGCCCTCCAAGACGCCCTCCAGGAAGGCCCGAATAGGTTAAAATCATTGATTTTCCTTAGGTTTTTCAAGGATTTTGGCATGTTCTTCTTTTCAGCTCTCCGACGGCCCAAGACGGCCCAAGAGGTCCCCAACATCGCCCCAACAGCACCCAAGAGGCCTCCAAGATGGCCCCATGACGGCCCAAGAGGCCCCCAAGAAGGCCCCAAGAGGGCCTCAAGACGGCCCAAGAGGCCTCCAAGACGCCCAAGATGGCCTCCAAGACGGCCAAGATGGCCCAAGATGGCCTCCAAGATGCCTCCAAGACGGCCAAGATGGCCTCCAAGACGGGTAAGATGGCTCCAAGATGCACCCAAGACGGTCCAAGATGGCCTCAAGATGGTCTAAGACGGCCCAAAAGGCCGGCAAAAGGCCTCCAAGACGGCCCAAGAGCCCTCCAAGACGCCCTCCAGGAAGGCCCGAATACGTTAAAATCATTGATTTTCCTCAGGTTTTTGAAGGATTTGGACGTCCCGAGATCATTTCAAGGCGGGGACTCGGATGAACGAACGGCAGCGCGTCCTGGCGCTCAGCTGTGAGGCACCATCAACTCAAAGAGAGAAAAGAGACAGAGCATGTGTGTCACGCATGCTAGAGAGGGTTCGGGGGGGCGGGGGACCAGAGAAGCTATGTGAAGCAAGAGAGCGGAGCCAAAGGGGCGACATAATGAAAACCCCCTCTTGACTTCCTTCACGTGCAAGCACAAACCAGGACGTCCCGAGATCTTTTCAAGGCGGGGACTCGGATGAACGAACGGCAGCGCGTCCTGGCGCTCAGCTGTGAGGCACCATCAACCCAAGCCGTTCCCAAGAATGTTTACTGGGTGGGCGGGCAAGGGCGATTCTATAAAGACGCGCGCCATTCACTCAATAGGACTTTGGCAAGCTTCCTGTTGAGGGATGGCGGATAGGCGGCAGCGATAGCGGTCCATTTCGCACCATTAGGGGCGTTGCCCTCAAGCACAATGTGTTGACGGCCAGACTTGTTACAGGTTCCGTTGATCTGAGTGCACCGACGATCGAGACAGCTAC